CTCCAAACAGGGCTTCAGATACTTGGGGGTAATTATTACTCCTAAAACCAATCAGCTACTTGCACTCAATTATGATCGGTTGTTCAAGGAGATTAGGGGGGACTTGGACAGATGGAACCTACTCCCACTCACTTTTATGGGGAGGATTGAATGTATAAGGATGAATATTCTTCCACGCCTATTATTCCTATTTCAGCACCTACCCATTTGGATCCCTCAGTCTACATTCAAATTTTTAGAACACATTACATCTAAATTTATCTGGCAGAATAAACGACCAAGGGTCAGACTCAAAGTGTTAATGTCTGGAAAGGAAAAAGGGGGCCTCAAGTTGCCTAACTTCAGAAAGTACTATTAGGCAGCTCAATTAAAATCAATGGCTGCCTGGATTATTCGTGATTCAGAAATGCAGTGGGTATCTATGGAAGAGTATTCATTACCAGGTATCTCCCTTTGGAGTCTCCCATTTCTCAACCCGCAATCACGGAAAAAGATTAAAATAACTAACCCATGGGTCAAGCACACCGTAAAGATTTGGAACCAAGTGTTAAAAATGTTAAAAGGGAATTTGACCATGTCTCGAGCGGTTCCCATAAATGGAAATGTTGAGTTCCTTCCATCGTTGTCAGATCGGAGTTTTGAGAGGTGGGTGGAGAAAGGATTGATTACAGTCAATCAGCTGTTTGAAAAGAATGCTCTTAAAAGTTTTGCCCAGCTAAGGGCTAAATACGCTTTATCCCCAGGGGACCATTATAGATACTTACAGTTAAGGGACTACATTACAAAGCATAAAGACTGGGACAATATTAGAAGAGAACCAATCGGGTTGGAAAACCATTTTATAAAACTGCTTGAAAAGTCGGGTACATTGAAAAACCAAGTGTCTTTGATCTACCAGAAACTGCTGATTGACATGTCTGATAATACCTATCATATAGAACAACAATGGGAAATGGAACTCAATATAATGTTGGATGATGTCACATGGGAGAGTGTGTGTTGTGGCTGCCATAGAGGGGTGGGTAGTCAAATGTGGAAGGAATTTGACTGGAAGGTTAAATTAAGATTTTTTAGAACTCCACTGAAAACCTTTCTATCCAAAAGTAGTGTCAGTGATAAATGTTGGAGAGGGTGTGGGTTTGTGACCAGACGCATATTTTTTGGGACTGTGTTTACATACAACAGTACTGGGTGGATGTCAAGAACATTATACAAAACATATTGTCAGTCAACCTCCCAATGGATCCTCTGATCTTTTTGTTGGATATCTTTCCTGATGGTTTCTCCTATGAGCAGCGCTTTCTCCACATCTCCTCCTCATGACTGCAAGAAAAACGATAACGATTCACTGGCTCAAACCAGAAACACCCACAGTTGCCCAGTGGCTTCTGAAAACTAGACATGTCTATACGATGGAACGGATAACAGCTCAACTACAACTAAAAGTGGCAACCTTTGAGAAAAAATGGAGACTAATTATAAAATATCTTGAAAGGACACTCAAGCCTTAACATTGTTCCATCTGTGCTTAGGTATTGGTATGTATGTATGTGTATATGTGTATATATGTTTTTTCTTTTAAATTAAGTTTTTGAATAACCCCCACCGTTATATGCAGCAGATTCGGTCTCAGGTCATGTTGTTGATGTGAATTGCCTTGTTATTTTTGGCAATAAAAGTTTTTTAAAAAATGAAAGAAAGAGGAGATTAAGACACTTTTAATGTTACTGAGATGAAAATGAGTTTAAGGTGACCTCAAACACCGAACTCACAAGAAAACACTGAAATAAATCAGTTAATAAAGGACTGTGCGTTATAGCTTCCTTAAATCTTCTTTGAAACTGCCTGAAACTATTAAAAACATCACTGTCAGAAACTGTCACAATCCACAAATAATAAAAAAAAAAAAACACTGAAGGCAGAATGACTATTTCTGTGATCTGGGCTCTGAAGGGCTGAGTCCACTATAACTATATATGAAACACCTCATTTTCACCCAGACACTCGCAATAAAAACCTTTCTGGAAGCAAATCAACACGACTCAGTCGCCAGCAGCACCGGTATGAGGTGAGCAGGCCTAAAGGTGAGAGCGAGGCTTTATTGTCTTAATCTCGGGTTCAGCAGGTCACAACAGGACTAAAGAGAAAGGACAGAGGAGCCGATGAGAAGACGGACGTGCTTCATTGTGCCAAAAGTAAAAGCACAAAGGTTATGAATACTTTTCAT